ACCCTAAACCCTAAACCCTAGCCTCGAACCGAGTGCAGGACTCGGCGCTGTTGGCAGGCATCTTCTCCAGCTGGCAGCGCAGCTGCCGGTGCCGTGGTCTAAACCTTGACCCCAAGCCCTGGTCCCGCTCTCTTTTTCGCTCCCTCTCGCTCTCTCTGTTTCTCTTTCTCTTTTTCTGGCGATCTTCCTCTCTTTCTCTCTCTTTCTCTCTCGGTGTGCGTGTTGTCCCGTGCCTGGCTGCAGTTGAAACTCTGGTAGTGGGTTGCCATCAGAGTAAGCTAAGTTGGGAGATTTGTCGAGATTCTAGACGGAACCACCCGGATTTCCAGGTCCCCTTTAGGGTCCTTATTATAATACGGCACCTATTAATTACGGTACCCCAAAAGCCTAAACCCTAAACCCTAAACCCTAAACCCTAAACCCTAAACCCAAAAGGGACCTTAATTTTGACAGCCACCCACATCGTACGCGCGTGAAGCCCTGAGCTTACACCAGGGACCGGAGCTCGGAATGCAGTTCTGGGAAGCGAAATCCAGAGCGCCCAGTGGTTTAGGGTTTAGGGTTTAGGGTTTAGGGGTTAAGGTACAGGGTTTAGGGTTTAGGGTTTAGGGTTTAGGGTTTAGGGTTTAGGGGTTAAGGTATAGACCTCAAGCCGTAAACCACATGAATGATCCCTCGGCACTGTAGGGAATATGATTTCCCAAGCCGCAGAAGCAATACGAGGCCGTAAAACCAAAGCCTTGAATCCCCAAACCTCAAAAGACCCTCAACCTAAACCCTAAACCCTAAACCCTAAACCCTAAACCCTAAGCCATTAAGATGAAGCCGTACGCTCAAAACTCCTACAGTAGGGTCCTCTTACCTCGGGGCTATTGAGATCTTCGTGAACCCAGTGACCCCAACACCCGAACCCTAAACCCTAAACCCTAAACCCTAAACCCTAAACCCTAAACCCTAAACCAGCAATATTAGAAACTTACAACATCCTGGACCCTCCATCTGGATCGTTTTCTAAATTAGGGTCCCTTTTTAGGTTCCCAAAATAGTACGGCACCCTTATAAAAAGGACCCGAAAAAGAGACCCTAATTTAGAGGACTACCCCTAATTCCCTAAACCCTAAACCCTGAACCCCACGCTTGGGAGATCTCTGTGAAGGCTTTCCACCACCGCCGCGCTGAAGGAGAAAGAACGGGTCGAGGCCCACTCAAGTACTTGAAGGGTTTAGGGGTTTAGACCTTTAGGGTTTAGGGGTTTAGGGTTTAGGGTTTAGGGTTTAGGGTTTAGGAGGATCATGGGACTTAGTAAGTAGGGTTATAACTAAGGTAATTGTACTTATAACCCCAATTAGAGGACTTATAACCTTACTTATTAAGTCCCATGAGCCTCCAAGTACTCAATGATCAGACAAGGGTTCAGGTTTTGAGGGTTTTTGGGTTTACGGGGTTGTTAGGGTTTAGGGTTTAGTTTAGGGTTTAGGGTTGAGGGTTCTAGGGATATTGATGTAGGTGTTACGGTTCCGGTATGAGGGCCTTGGAGTGTAAATTTTCAGAGGTGTTAAGCGGGTTTTCCACGAGAACCAAAAGGTCTTGTAGGGTCGATTACAGGGGCCTTCATAGTCGCATGGGTTCTATGGAATTACCCTAAACCCTAAACCCTAAACCCTAAACCCTAAACCCTAAACCCTAAACCCTAAACCCTAACTGGAAGAAGTGTTGTGGGGGCTTGGGGGTTGGGGCCTAGAGGATTGCTTTTCTTTTCCTCCAAGAGTCAGATCTTTTCTTGACTGTTGCGTGCTTGGAGGGTCGGGGGACTTACACGGTTGAGGGTTTAGGGTTTAGGGTTTAGGGTTTAGGGTTTAGGGTAGAGTGATAAGTACCTGAAATGGGGTCCTAATTGGGGATATGATACTTGCCAGTCTTTAGGATAACTACAGACTAAGTCCCCCGACCTTCCAGGCAGGGTGCTGCAGGGTGTTGCAGGGTTGATTAGGGCTCTGGATATCGCTTTTGGGTGAGAGGCTTTGAGGTGCGGGGGTTTGGGTTCCATTGGTTGGTTTTCAGGGCCACCAGGGCCTTCGCTTCTAGTTATTCGCAGTACCTCAGCCCAAACGTAACAGTAAAGCCGGTAACTTAGAACCGAAAACTTTGAATTATGCAATCAGCCCAAACCTTGCACCTAAACCCTAAACCCTAAACCCTAAACCCTAAACCCTGAACCCCAACCCTACGCCCTAAACCCAAGCCCCTAAGCCGCCCCAAGCCCTGCCGAACCTGCAGCCTCACGCGCGTTTCCCACGACGCAAAGCCAGCGACGACCTTTTCGGTTTAGGGTGTAGGGTTTAGGGTTTAGGGTGGACCCTTTCGGGTGGATCCTTGAGGGGTTCTACAGGGCCTCTATACGGGTTCCATGGTCAAGGGGTTCAGAGTTCCGCTGAGGGTTGCTTTGGGGGGTTATAGGGGCTTCATAGAAACGGCTGTAGCGCGGGCTACAAGCTATGGAGGTTCTTTCAAGACCCTTAAACCCTAAACCCTAAACCCTAAACCCTATAGGTGTTTCTAGAAGGGTTCTACTAAGGGGTGTTATCGGCTTTCAGGTCTTCGGGGCAGTGAATAATTATACACTCTTATAGTCCCTGTGTAGGTATGGAATGACTGGGTTTAGCCTTTAGGGTTTAGGGTATATCGCAAAACCATAGCACAGTTATCAAAGTCCCTATATCATCTAAATGCCGAAAAACCCGAAGCCTCAAGCGACTCTTGTCAGGGATTGTGGCGCCTCGGAGCATCTACGTACCACCCGCAGCATCCCAAAACAAGAGACACAGACAGCGAAAACATGACAGCGGTGTCCGTGATACGAACACCAATAGGGACAATGCTTGCAAGCAAGAACGGGCACACTCGCACTCGAAACAATCATCAGTAGGCCGAGCCCTCCTCATCCTACTGCTCCCCAAAGCCCTTCAACAACGGCGAAACCCCAAGACCCAAACCCTAAACTCTAAACCGAACCACACAATTTCAGGCGGCTTCTAAAGAGCGCCAGCGTGGGGAGCTTACAGCCTTAGGGTGTAGAGGTTTCAGCAGGGGGTTTAGGGTTTAGGGCAGGGGTTTAGGGGGTTAAGGGTTCTTCCATGGGCTCCTCTAAGGTTCCTCCTCTAGGGTTTGTGCTTAAGGGCTCAAGAACCCCTATAAGAGCTATGGTTGAGGTATAGGGTTTATTTCAATCCTGCCGACATTCTTGCGCCCGGAAAACTCTGTAGCTTGTGAGAGATGGGTGAAGTAGCACCTATGCGGCTTGCAGCTTCAGGGCTTTAACATGCTTGCTTAGGGTTTAGGGTTTAGGGTTTAGGGTTATTAAGATTAAAGAATCTAGTCTTGAAGCTTCGATATTGGGTGCATGGTAGCCTGCGCATTGCACGCATGCCCTACTGCTGACGATCCATGTCCTGCATTACCTTAAGGAACCTAAAGTCCATGAAATATGGCATATTCCTTGTTATGGGTAATGCAGGATTTGTATCATCAACCGTATCCCGACAGCGTTTAACAACGTACCTTGGCTCGACCTAGGTTCCCCAGGTCAACTTTCCAGTTCCCTAGAACACTGAAAAGCCCCTAAACCCAGCCTAAGCCCCAAACCCCTAAACCCCTAAACCCAAACCCCTAAACCTCAAACCCTAAACCCTGACACCCTGAACCCTAAAACCCTAAAGCCCTGAAACCCTAAAGCCCCAAACCCTAAACCCAGCCTAAGCCCCAAGGCCATCAGGCCCCAGGAGCCTTCAAAAAGCCGCTAACCCCAAGTCTTCTCCACATCCTTCAGAAGTTCCCCGGAAAAATAGGGTTCAGGGTTTAGGGTTTAGGGTTTAGGGCTAAGCCTAAGCCCTAAAAGCCCAGAATCCTAAACCCTAAACCCTAAACCCTAAAACCTAAAACCCAAAGCCCAAAAAACCCTAAACCCTAAGACTTTTAAACTTAAACCCTACCCTTCAGGGTTAGGATTGTTTGGGCTCCCGGTGATCTCCCCGGCTCTCAGGTGCCATTTGTCGGCAGGCTGCCATGCCGCTCTCCATGGCTTCAGAGTTTAGGGCCTTCGGGGCCTTAGGGGTTTAGGGGTTTAGGGGTTTGGGGGTTTAGGGGTTTAGGGGTTTAGGGGTTTCGGGTTTAGGGGTTTAGGGTTTAGGGGTTAAGGGTTTTCAAGATTGCTGCTTGAGTGGCAAAAGCTGCCTCCTCCTCATGTACCTCTTGATATTTATATTCTAGAAGCATGAACCCTAAACCCAAAACCCTAAACCCAAACCCAAACATCCTTCACCCTAACATCTACCTCCTAAAGCCCATAGCTCAAGGTAGATTGCTGAAGTTTATGAGGGCTCCGACGTCCGGGCACCATGAGCTCGGAAACCTCCCTAGGCCCTCCAGGCCCTGCAAATCTCACACCCTGCAGCAAGAAACGAGGCTTTGCGGTTTCGGGTTTAGGGTTTAGGGTTTAGGGTTTAGGGTTTAGGGTTTAGGGTTTAGGGTTTAGGGTTTAGGGTTCAGGGCAAGGCTTTGTGGTTTAGTTTAGGAGATAGGCGTTCCTTTTGGGGTTCGGTCATGGTTTGGGGGTTCGTGAGCCGAATCCTTGGCACCCCCGGACCCCCTTAGAGTTTAGGGTTTAGGGTTTAAGGTTTAGGGTTTAGGGTTTAGGGTTTAAGGTTTAGGGTTTAGGGTTTAGGGTTTAGGGTTTAGGGTTTACAAACCAAGCTAGGCTCTGCAAAGCTCCGTCGCCCCTACCTTGAGAACTCGATAATCAGAACCTTGTCGACATCCTGTCTAAGACTTCTGTGAAGACAGAACAGCCCAAAGCCACAAATCCTACACTCAGGGAAAAGAGCCAACTTACGAGTAGCTAAGGTACTATCGAGCCCTGAACCCTAAACTTTCAACCCCAAACTCCTAACCTGAAGCCCTAACTAAACCCTAAATCTTAAACCCTAGACCCCTAACCTTAAGCTCTAAAGCTTAAACCCTGAACCCTAAACCCCTAACCTGAAACCCTCAACCTTAGACCGTAAATCCGAAACCCTTACCCTTAAACCCTAAGCCCAGAGAGCCCAATACCCCTTAATTAAGGAAGACCTTAAATCATAGTATTAAATTAAGGCCCCTATAATTTAAGGTATATTCCTTAATTAAGGTGTATTGAGCTCTCTGGGAACCCTTTCAGAGTGTGGGCTGAGCTGAGGAGCTTGGTCGGAACCTCGGGTCCGCAACAAAGGGGGACGACGTTTGGGTGTAGGGTTTAAGGGTTTAGGGTTTAGGGTTTTAGGGTTTAGGGTTGAGGGTTTCAGGGTTTAGGGTTTTAGGGTTTAGGGTTTAGGATTTAGGGTTTTAGGATTTTACGGTTGAGGATTTCGGGTTTAGGGCCAGGGTTTTGAGGTTTAGGGTTGTTTCGATTAGGGATTTAGGGGCTTAGGGGTTTAGCATTCACGGTATAGGGGTTTAGGGTTTAGGGGGTTAAGGCGTTTAGGGTTAGGGCTTCAGGGTTAGGGCTTCACGAGTTTAGCGGCTTTATAGACAATTTTACGGTTTGCGAGGGTTCCCTCGAAAGCTTCCTTAGGGTTTCGGGGTGTAGGGGTCTGAAGGGATTGGGGGAGGGCATGGTTTACGTGTTTTAGGGGGGTCAGGCTTACTCCTTAAAACCCCAAACCCACACCCCGTGGGCGAGAAGACTCCTGGTTCGGGTGTGGGGCGCTAAACCCTAAACTGTAAACCGCAAACCGTAAACCCCAAACCGTAAACCCCAAAC